CAAATTATTATTTTTTAAATAATGTAAGATAAAGGCGAATGTGTATTTGATTTTGTAAAAAAATTTGTATTGATAACACAATTGAATATTAAGCCCTTATTTAGTAAGATGGTTGAGATTAGTTTAGTTATTAAAAAATAAAATAAATTAATAAAATAAAATATCACATTTAAATTATAATTATTTTACTTTTTCTCTCATAAAATTAAAAAAAAAAGGTCAAAAATTCATCAGAAATTTTTTTAACCAAATTAAAATAGTCCAAAAATTAAAAAACCTAAAAGTCAAAAAACAAAAAATAAATAAAAACTAAAAAGAAGACAAAATTTGAAGTGACTCTCAGCAGTCAGTGCAAGCCAAATGACAATTCCACCATCCTATCCGGTCACAACTATTTAAAATGTAATTAAAGCGTCGTTTGAGAACAGGTTAATTTAATAAATTTTTAATTATTTAATTAAAAAAATAGGTAAAAAAAATTTATATGTTTGAGATTATTTTTTGACTAATTACAAAAAGATGTACAAAAAGTAGAGAGAAAAGAATTTTTAATTTTTTGATATAAGTTATTGATTTTTTAACTAAAAATTGATAACACAATTGAATATTAAGCCCTTATTTAGTAAGATGGTTGAGATTAGTTTAGTTATTAAAAAATAAAATAAATTAATAAAATAAAATATCACATTTAAATTATAATTATTTTACTTTTTCTCTCATAAAACTAAAAAAAAAAGTCAAAAATTCATCAGAAATTTTTTTAACCAAATTAAAATAGTCCAAAAATTAAAAAACCTAAAAGTCAAAAAACAAAAAATAAATAAAAACTAAAAAGAAGACAAAATTTGAAGTGACTCTCAGCAGTCAGTGCAAGCCAAATGACAATTCCACCATCCTATCCGGTCACAACTATTTAAAATGTAATTAAAGCGTCGTTTGGGAACAGGTTAATTTAATAATTTTTTAGTTATTTAACTAAAATAATAGGTAAAAAAAACTTATATGTTTAGGATTATTTTTTGACTAATTATAAAAAGATGTGCAAAAAGTAGAGAGAAAAGAATTTTTAACTTTTTGGTATAAGTTATTGATTTTTTAACTAAAAATGTAACTTTTTGACTTTTTAACTAAAAAGTAAGTCCCAAACGGGGCTAAGAAAGGAAATAGTGGGAGGCTTTTTTCTTTTATTTTTTTGGTATTCGTTTTGTTTGGAGATGCAATGCAGTCATGTCACCGGCTAATTTACGGAGGAGTTGTCTATCTTGTACTCTATCTATTTTTATTCACCGCATAACAAAAAGAAAAAGAAAAAAAAGTTTAAATTTTCAAATGTAATTAATACATCATGACCCATTTGATTATCAGTGTAATTTTAATTTGTTAAAATTACATCACAGTTGTGTCAGCAAAAATAAATTATAAATAAATGATAAATATTAATAATCAAAATTATAAATTTTATCATGAATTTTATAATTTTTTTAATTGATATCACTGAAGAGTGGTTTTCCCTTTTAATTTTGTGTAATTATAGGGGGAATTTTTTTAAGATTCCTAATATTAAAATTTTATAAGATAAAAAACATATAATATTTTCATAGTAGTGAAGGCCCTCAATATTTTCAAAGAGAAAATTCAATTCAGAGAAATTTTGTCTGACTTAGAGAAATTTCATTTTTCACAGTGCAATTTTGAAATTTCTATAAATCGGTCGAAATTTCTCAGAGTCAAATTTTCTTTGTGAAAATGTTGAGAAGCCTTAACTAATAAAAAAAAATATTAGACCTCTCATACTATACATAGTTAAAGATGGATGTTTCACTAATTTTTTCGTAATTACAATGGGGTATGTGATGTTTAGGGAAAAGAAAAAAACGTAGAAAACAAAAAAATGAGATGTGTTTTTTCTATTTATCTATTTTAATTTTACGTGAATAATATAGAAGAAATGATAGTGTCACTATTTGATAAATTTTTTCTAATTTACGGCATTTTGACACAATTGCATACTTGGCATTGTCGTTCTGACACAAATTATTAGGCTGTCATGAAGTTTATTGTGTGAATACAATAGATAAAAATAATAAAATTTAAGATAAATTAAAGTAAATTTTCTTAAATCATGATATATTTGTACTTTGTCATATGAATTTTAAACTATGATATATTTGTACTTTGTCATATGAATTTTAAAACTCAGGTAATTTCTTTTAAGTATTATGTTATTGCAATTAACTCCTCTTATTAGGATTTTGTTAGGGATTTACATAAAATATGGTTATGTGTGAAACACATAACATAGTTTTGAATTTTTAATATAATAATATCACTATCTAATGATCTTGTTTATATTTTGTCACTAAAATAAGGGAGGTAAAGTATAAATGAGGTTGCTAAATTAATATTTAAAAAATCAATAATTCCTTATAAATATCCCTAACAAATCTTCTTGAAAAATGTCAAGTGTAGAAGATAATACTTTGAGGTGATCACCTGTTAAATTTTGAAGTTTAAGAGGATAAAATATAAATGAATCATAGTTTAAGAGAATTTACTATAAATTACTCTAAAATTTATTTAGTGATATATATAACTGTCTTCAAAAAGAAATTCAACAGTGAAACCTTATTATTTGACACTATAGACAATATTTTTTAAGATAAATTACAAATACACCTGCTGAGATTTAATTAAAATACGAATCGCTCCCTGTGATTTTAAAAATTACATTTCACCCATGAGGTTTCTAATTTCATAACAAATCGCCCATTTTATTAATAAATCATTAAGGTCTCGTATGCCAATTATACATTTTAGTCAAAAAGTTAAAAAGTCACTATAAGTTGTCACACCACTCTCTCTATTTTTCTGCATATCTTTTCGTAAAAAATCAAAAAGTTACTAAAATAGCCTATTCTCAAACAAGGCCTAAGTCAATTAACAGTTTTTAATGATGTTAAAAATATATTTTAATTAATAATTTTAGTAATTTTATTATTGTATACGAGAACAATTATGAATTTTATTTTTTTAGTTAATTCTGTTAAATAAAAAATTATGATAAAGGGGTATTTGTAATTTTTAAATCAAAAGGGACAATCTATATTTTAAGCAAATCTTAGGAATATATTTTTAATATATCCTAATTTTTATTTTTGGTAAGTTCATTTTCATTTTTGGTCTATTTTGGGATTATGATTATCTTGTAATAATTTTGTTTGTAGTATTTTTTTTTTATTACAACATGACACGTTAACAAAATACATAATTTAAGATATTGTATTTAAAATAAATGATAAAAATAACATCAAAATATTATATATTTATGTTTAAGCCACACATTTCAAAATTGCGTTGTTTTACTTCAACTTTAAACTTTAACACCATTGAATTGAATTGAAAAATCCATGACAGGTCGTAATCCATTTTTCGTCAAGTTAAATTAATTGTGAGAAAAATCCATACATACAAAGAGTAATTGTCTCAGGGGCAATAATGTCAATTAAAGAAAAATCATGGGCACCTCATCTTAGTTCTCTCAACTGTGGAGCACCTACTACTTCAATGGCATTCCTCAGTTGGCAAAATATCTTTAATAAGGCTTAGATTGATTTGGAATGTTCTAAATAAATATATTTTTTGATATTTTAAAAAAATATATATAAAAAAGTAGAGAAGATATATTGATATATATTGATTAATGTGACTCAAATAAGTGTATATATACAAAAAAAAAATATATTTTTTTAATATATGCCAAACACCTACTTAATATTTAAAAATGAACTAATTGGTAAGAAATTAATTTCTATACGGGCCATATTATATTTAGTCTAAGATTTATTTATATATTTTGTGATAATAATACCCATTAAAAAGTTGACAGTGATTGGCAGTGACGAGATAAATAGTTAAATGATATTATACATAAATGAATAGATAAATGACATACATACATATAAAGAAATATTTAAAAAGATAATTAAAATTTAAATAAATAGGTGATGCATGTCCTTATAGATAATATTTGAATAAATGTGATATTTAACTGATATTGTGAAACAAGTAAGCATAGGTATGTTTGGAAACTTACAATAATATTTAAAAAGTCAAAATTATAAAAAAAATCAAAAGATTTATTTTTATTTCTGTTTTTTAACATTTAAAAAAATAAATAAAAAAAATCATTTTAAACATATTAATATTTTCATCTTATATTTTAATGAAAAATTTAAAAAACTATTAGCCTCCATTTGACAAGTTGGTTTTGAGGTTTTTTTTGGCTAAAATAACTACAAAAAACAAAATAGGTTTTTTAGTTCAATAAAACAAAACATCACATTCAACTCATAATCATTACATTCTTTCTTTCAAACCAAAAGTCCTTCTCAAACCAAATTTTTTAATCCTAAATTAAAATAATTAAAATATCAAAAAGTCAATCCACAACTCAAACGAGCTCTAATGTTATGTTTGGATTGAGTGATTTGGAGAGAAAAAAAAAGAAACAGAGAGATATGTATTTCTCTTACTTGTTTTGATAACCTAAGTGGAGAGAAATATGAAGAAATAGAGAGAAATGGAGAGAAACTCATTTATCTTATAAACCTCATTTTCAATCTTCTCAAAAATAAAGAGATTAGGAGAGAAAAGAAACTACTATTTTTATAATACAAATTTTGCCCTATAGAAATAAAAGAAATAAAATGATTAAAAATATAAAAAGGTTATTTTGGTAATATAACATAAAATAATTTCTTTTCTTTTCTTTTCTCTTAATGAAATCTAACCAAATAGGAATGAGAGAAATCACAATCATTAATTTTCTTTTATTTTTTTCTTATCCAAAAAAAAAAAAAATGACAATCATCTCTTTTCTTTCTTTTCTCTTATAATTTAACTAATCATTTTTTTTTTCTCTCCTCCTAAGTTCCCAAACATATGTAAGATAGAAAGTCTATTTCAAACCCATTGCGGTCTAAAAAAATATATATAAAATAAAACGGGGAATTGATGCAGTAAATGAAAGCAGAAGAGTGTACCCGCCAAGTACATGATCTTCTTTGAGCTACTCACCCGCATCAAATAGACGCACTTTCGTATTCGTATTCGTATTCGTACCCTAGAGAGAGAAACTTCACAGAGCTAGAGACAGAGAGACAGAAAATTCCTCTCTACTTGTTCTTCTACTTGCTAATTTTCTGGATTTGTGTTCTTCATGATCGTGCTTTTCTTCAACGGAGATTGAATTTCACACTCTAACTTGGTTAGTCCTCCAATTCCGCTATTTTCTCTGGTTTTTGCTTCTGTTTAGTTTCGTTTGTGGTGGTTACTGGTTAGAATTTGTGTAGATGAGCACATAGTTGTGTTTGTATAATCTCTCTCCCTGTACTTTTTTTTTTATAATTTTAATTTTAATTTTTATGTAGTTGTGGAAATGAAAGAGACCGAGATGGGAAGTAAAGATGAATTAATGGAGGCTCTCAAGAAGGAAGCTGTTGATTTGGTACTGAATCTGACTCTGTTGTGATTTTTACACTCTCTGTGTTGTTTTTTAGTCAGTGAAGGTGTGCTTTGATGGGTTTTGATTTTGGTGAATTTGATATATGAATTTGATTTGCAGGAGAACATACCGATTGAAGAGGTTTTTGAGAATTTGAGATGTACCAAAGAGGGACTCTCACGCGAGTCCGCTGAACAGAGACTTGCCATTTTTGGGCATAACAAGCTTGAAGAAAAGAAGGTGCCGGTTACATATGTTAATCTTATGATTTTCTACTTTTCTTCTTGTTGGTAGTTGTGGGGTTGATGATGATAATTTTTCTACGTCTTGATTTGTCTTTGTTGTTGTAGAAATTTGAGGTGTTTTGGGGGTTACAATTTTTTTTTTGTTTTTTTGCGTTTTTGCTTGCAGGAGAGTAAGATTTTGAAGTTTTTGGGGTTTATGTGGAACCCTCTTTCGTGGGTCATGGAAGCTGCAGCTATTATGGCCATTGCCCTTGCCAACGGAGGAGTAAGCACTGGTTCTTTGTTGCCTTTTTGTTTGGTTGCTGAGAAAAGTTTAGACAGGTTTTGTATTGTTTTCTAGGAAAAAAAGAAGGAAATTGGTCGGCAATTTTTTTTTGGAGAAATTTCTGAAAACACTTTTCTGAATTTATAAAAATTGTTTTTGCATAAAAATGAAAATGGTGGGTTTTTTGAACTTTTCAATTTTTTATTTTTTTTGTTTCCGGAACGACTAGAAAACTAAATGACAAACAGAAACATACAAAATGAAAGCAATACCAAACATATGTACATTTTTGCCTTTGAAAACTTTAAACTTCCTTTGGGCAAGTCAAGTCCTACTAGGATCATGAGTAATGCTAGGCATCATGAAAGAAATATCATGAAAAGCTTCGTGAAGATTCTTTACCCTTGGATTACACACACAATGAAACACCACACACTAATCAAAAAATGAAAAATCTTCATGCAACATTTCATGATACCTAGTATTATTCAGGATGAAATGAGTGAAGAAGCACCGACACTCCAAGATAGGTGCCGGTGCTGTGTCCGACAGGTGTATCCACATGGTATTTATAGTTTAATTTCTTATGTTTTGCAAATGCTCATGAACCCACAGCATAGCTGTGTTTTTCTTATTCCCAGTAGTTTCAATTATCTGTGGATGATACTGCTTATAGGAACTTCATATTACCCCGTTTTCTGCAGAGAAAACCACCTGATTGGCAGGATTTTGTTGGGATCATTACTCTGCTTTTTATCAATTCTACTATAAGTTTTATTGAGGAGAACAATGCTGGTAATGCTGCTGCGGCTCTCATGGCCCGCCTTGCACCGAAAGCAAAGGTAATGGAATTTGGTCTTTAGATAAATTCAAAAAAATTCTACCTTTACGCATATATGTAACTTGCTTTTCCAGTTTTTTAAGGCTGGATTATGACTTACAATTTGTATCTTCTCTCCTAAGTTGATTAATCTAAAACGAAAAATCATAGGTTCTTCGTGATGGAAAATGGAGTGAGGAAGATGCAGCTGTTCTTGTTCCAGGTGACGTAGTTAGTATTAAACTTGGTGACATAATCCCTGCAGATGCTCGTCTCCTTGAGGGTGACCCATTGAAAATAGACCAGGTGCTTGTGACTATCATTATTCTGTTGATTGAAGTAGGTTAATTTCATCTTCTAATAGTCAAGCTATCTAACTGGAATACTTCTATTTGGGTTTTGCAGTCTGCACTGACAGGTGAGTCCCTTCCTGTAACAAAAAGCCCCGGGGATGGGGTTTATTCAGGATCCACTTGCAAACAGGGAGAGATTGAAGCAGTGGTCATTGCCACCGGTGTCCACACCTTCTTTGGCAAGGCTGCTCACCTTGTGGACAGCACAAATCAAGTGGGCCATTTTCAGAAGGTATGGACATTCAAATATAAATTTGTTTTGTTCAAGATCATAGTCATCAAAAATATGAAATAAAAGAATTAAGGTATTCAGG